CAGAAGAGACAGGAGCTCACCAAGTTAAAGACAGAAAAATAGGTGATAGGCAACTGGTGGTAAGTGCCATGAAGACACATAAAACAAGGAAGTAAGGTGGGAGGGCTGGGGGAAAGGACATGGAAAGTAGAGATGATATTGCAGTAATCTTAGAAGGAGAGGGAGAACCACACAACCAGCCTTTGAAGAGGAAGAGCAGAAAGTGGAGGGTTCCAGGGCTGAGCACACACCTGACGTGACAGAGCCAAATGGAGAGTCCACACGCTGGAGTGGAACAAGATGGGCAGAGGGACAGCGTGGGTCATGCACATGGGGTCCACATGGACTGGGCTGCAGCTCTGGGAGGAGTGATCTGGAATGTGCTGTAAAGGGGCCATTCGGGCTACTGTGTGGAGAGGAGGCTGCAGGGCAAATGTTCAAGTCACTTCCATCACCCAGAAGGACAATGGCTGGGACCATGGTCTTGACAATGCAGGTGGTGAGAGGTCACCCTCCCGACAGAGGTTGAAGGAGAGCTCTAGTTCCTTGTGCATGTTTGTTGTTTTGTTTTATTTTGTGGTTGTCAGGCTTGGCTTGGTTGATTGGTTGGTTTGTTTCTTTTAGGATTAAACAAAACAATATATGTAAAGTTTCCTGACACATAGTAAATACCTGCATACTAGAGCTGGTATGAGGGAGCTCTGGTGGCCTAGTTGTAAGGAGTTGTGCTGACAACATAAAGACATGTGGTTCGAATCCACCACCTGCTCCACAGGAGAAGTATCTGCAGTCTCCTGTGCAATTTCTTCCTCTGAAAACCCGCTGGGAGTTGTTATGGGTCAAGTCATACTTGATGATACATATCAACTATAAGAAAGCTCGTGTTAGTACCGCGGTGGGGGGCTCACAGAAAAGTGTGCAGTTGGTCTGCGGCATCTGTGGAACATGAAGAGTGTGACAGATGTGGGGCTGTGATTTTTTCTTGTTAGAATCAACGAGTCAGTCCACTTGCTGCCATATCAATTCTGACTCCTGGTTGCCCACGCATGTCAGAGCAGAGCTGGACCTCACAGGATTTGCAATAGGTGATTTTGTTTGAAGTAGATTATTAGGCCTTTCTTCCAAGGCAACTCTAAGTAGACTTGAACCTCCAACTTTTAGGCAATCAGCCAAATGCATCCACCATTTGCACCATGCGTGGATTGATTCCATTATTATTTAAAAAATAGGAGAACTCTGCTTCACTCCTTGGGGGGAAAAAATCCAAAAAGCTCTAAAAACCAAAAACCACATTGGTGGTGGTGTGTGCTGTCAAGTCGGAACCGACTTGTAGCTATTATCAGACCGGTGGGTTACCAGAGAGGCATCTTGTTCCCATACCTTTTCAATCTATATGCAGAACAGATCATTCGGGAAACAGGGATTTATGAAGAGAAATGTGGCATCAGGATTGGAGGAAGACTTATCAACAAACTACATTATGCAAATGACACAGCCTTGCTTGCTGAAACTAAAGAAGACCCGAAGCACTTGCTGCAAAAGGTCAAGGACTATAGTCTTCAATAGGAATTGAAGCTTAACATCAAGAAAACAAAGATTCTCACCACTCGGCCAATTGGCAGCACCATGATAGATGGAGAAGAGATTGAGATTGTTAACAATTATAGTTTGCTCAGCTCAGCAAACAACACTCTTACACCAGCAGCCAGGAAATTTAAAAAAAACTAATTGCTTTGGGAAAATCTGCTGTCAGGGACCTCTCCAGAGTGCTAAAAAGCAACAGTGTCAGTCTAGAGACTAAGGTGCGCCTAATCCAGGCCATGGTTTTTGCAATTACTTACTATGCATCAGAGAGCTGGACAATGACTAAAGATGACAGAAGAAGAATCAATGCCTTTGAGTTGTGGTGCTGGAGAAGAGTCTTGAATATACATGGACTGCCAAAAAAACAAATAGGTCTGTCTTAGAGGGTTCACCCTCTCCTTGGAGGCTAGGATTTTGAAGCATTATCTCAATACTTTGGGCACATGGCCAGAAGGAACCAATCCTTGGAGAAGAACCTCATGCTTGGAAGGATGGAGGGACAGTACAGGAGAGGAAGACCCAGGATGAGATGGGTTGGTACAGTGACTGGGACAATGGGGGCTGGTGTTTCAGAGTTAGTGAGACTGGCTCAGGACAGGACAGAGTTCTGCTGTGCATAGGGTCACTATGGATCACAGGTGACTCAACGGCACATAACAACAAATTACACAGAAGGAGATTGCCCATCTTCTCCAGTGGAGCTGCTGGTGGATTCAAACCTCATTCTTTTAAGAGTACAGCGCAGATTCTTTCAACTAGACCACCAGAGCCATTGGGGAATGGGGGAAAAATCCCTATGGGATGGGATCCAACACTTCCCCTGTAGTCCCCTGCTCTTGCTGCATTGTAATGTCCACAGGAGTAACCTCACAGCAGTGGGGACAGAGGGACCAACCCTTGAAACACTAGCCTTCTCAGCCTGAGGCCCATGAAGCCAGCAACTCTTCCTCATCAAGACAGCTACAAGAGCAAGGCTGGGGTGGAGGTGGGGGTTTTCAGGGCCCTCAGGGAGGAAAGTCCTGGGTACAAAGGCTCAGGAGGTCCATGTGCGGGGGACATGCCGTCAGGTCCTGAGCACCACAACAAATAGATCTCATTTTTCTTTTGGGATGGAGTTTGCTCTGGAATCAACAAATGAAACCTTGAGTTTTCAAGTCTTCCGGCTCGTCCTCTCCAGCGCCCTAGCTGCCTTTCACAGTGCTGTCCCACTACCAGCAAGACTGCAGGCGAATGTATTTTCCTCAACACTTAGGTTTTGACACAGAAAACAGCTTAGGCTAGAAATATGTCTGTTCCAGAATTGACTAACCATTAACTTTTCATAAGCAACTCAGGTATGAACCCTTTACGACTCTGTTATGAGACAGGACAAATCAGCTAGCTGGTGTTTTATTTTTATTACGGAGGCTTCCGCAGAGTGGTCGGAATGGGCCTGTTTTCAGCAGAGCAATGTTTCAGAGCAAACGCGCGGGGTTTCAACAGCCTGGCCAATATTTTACTCCACTGGGAGTCCTGTCGGAAATTATTTTCCTGATACTGAAAGCAGGCTGCACACATCCCCTCAGCCCTCACACTGGGCCCACACTCCTCCACTGGGCAGTTATTCAGACAGCATGTTTGAAGAAACACGTGAGGGTTGTGCCCAGGCCCTTCCGAGGTGTGAAACGGTGGTCAATGTTTGGGGAGACAGGAGTGTGAAGGACTCAGTGGGCTTCCATGCCTCTCCTCCTCAACAACCCTTGTGCCTTCCTGACTCATCCTTCCTGCTGCCAGATTGCTTCAACACAAAAGGAAACTTAGAAAGGGCAGGGGATTGGTTTGGGTTCCAAGTGACCACGGGAAGATTTGCATTTTCTGTTAATAGTAACAAGAAAAATCACATTCCACACATATGTTACACTCCCAAACAAAATGTATTCACAGCGATTCTCTCAATACCCCACGAGATAGGGCACATGTATTGTCATAACTTGCAGGTGGAGGAACCTTGCCAGAGGGGTAAGTGACCTCGGTCTCTGGCCAGTGCTGGTTCTCCTGCACCCCAGCTGCTGGCCTTCCTGAACCTCTTCTCAGACTGTACTGCAAACTCCACTTCTCTGCAGTGAGCAAGGGCTGTCAGCTCTGAGCATTCTGTCCTCAGAGCTGTCTGATGGCTAAGGCCAAGTCTGATGAGGAATCTCCAGTGTAGTCCAAGCCCTAGCATGTTGACACTTGGTATCCAGAAGGGGCTAGAGCTGTGCGTGGTTCTGCGAGACCATACACAGTGAACAGAAAAGCACTCTGGGTGTGCATTGTGCCAAGAGCTCCGTGAGGGACTGTGACCCAGCCAAAGCCCTCTGCTTCCCTGCCCTGCACAAGGCCCAATGAGAAAGATCACTTCTTGTTTGGCTACAATGACCACAGTGGCCAGACCTGTAGGGCAAATTCTTACAGAGCCCCTAAGCATCAACCCCTTGACTCTGTTTTATGTTCTTTGCTTGCCCCATCATCCTCATGATTCTATTTCCCTTCTCTTGGTTTACCTAGAGCTCCGCAAGCTTCCTGAAATCATTTAGGATTGAGGTGGATCGAAGCCAGAAGACAGCAACATCCCATGGGCCAAATCCCACCAACTATCATCCCCCCCTTTTTTACACAATATGACATTGGAAGACAACAGCCCTTCTCATTCACTCACAAATGTCTGCATAGTACTAGACTAGACTATATACTATTTACTTTGTGTGCATAATATTATACACTACCATGACAAACTTAAGATGATGGAAAGTAAAGATAGTATCTATCTGGTAACCTAGAGAGTAAAGAGTTTGCTACCAACCCAAAGGCTTGAGGTTCAATCCCACCAGCTGCTCTTTGGGAGAAGGATGAGAACTCTTCTCCCTTGAGATTTACTACCTCTGAAAACCCATTAATGGGTTGGCTATGAGTTGGTTCCAAATGAACAACAATATGTTTGTTTGTTTGTTTGTTTGTTTGTTTAGATTGTTTTGGGGTTTAGGTTTTTTTTAAGAAAAATGTTCGTCAACTCTTCATGTAAATTAAGTCTTCAGAAACAAAGCAGCTTATTAAGTGGGTAAAATCTCTAGATCACCACAGTTAGCAGGAGGAATAAGAAGAGAACAGGTCAAGTTAGCTAAAATGGAGAGAGAGCATATATACTGAGGGGTGTTCAAGTAGGGCTTCATGGTGGAGGTGTCATATGAACAAAGCTTTTAAAGGATGTTCAGGATCCAGCAAAGTGTAAAATAGTTGGTGTCTCATCTGCAGAGGCAGAACCACCCTGTTGGCAGTTCTGGTTGGAGGAAAGGGATCAGTGGAATGGAAATCCTTTGCAGAATTTCTGCTTTGCTGGCAATCCGCAGGGCATGACTGCCCGTCCCAGCCTGCTTGACTGTGTCATCAGATTGGTCTCATTGTGTTCTTTGCTCATGCAGGACTTCGGCGAGGATGACTCCCTGTACATCACCAAGGTGACCACCATCCACATGGGCAATTACACCTGCCACGCCTCTGGCCACGAGGAGTTATTCCAGACCCACGTCCTGCAGGTGAATGGTTAGTAAATGGCTCCATGCATGTCATTCCCTCAAAATGGTACCCAAATGCTGCTCGAAGCAACCCTTGTCCCATCCTGTGTTGTCTTCTTAGAGATAACGCCTTTACCCCAAATGATCTCATCTCCTTCATAAGTCATGGGAAATGGTGGGGGAAAGACCAATGTCTGTCAACGTGGACTCCCCAAAGCCGCCTCTGGTAAAATGACTCCATGTGCCAAAGGAGAGGTCATGCAGGTGTGTCTCGCCTAGCAGCCGAGGCCCCAGCAAGACACTGTAGAGTGTGGCTTGTACCCTGAGAAGTGGGCGGCATTGACGAGCCACACACAATGGCGATTTCTGCATCAAGTGAGAAGCAGAATCATTTGTTCAGGTTGGGGGTGTTTCTCATTTCCTCCAATAAGAACTTGCTCCCATTATCCTCCCCAAGAAGCTCAATGAGCTTCATCTCCAGCCAACCCAGACCAGAACCGAGCAGGCTCGCGAGGGATTCTTTGCTCCTCCCTGCCCCTGCTCTGCCCTGACTCCTAGCTGCCTGGAAAAATTCTCTCCCTTCCTATTACAACATTCATTACATACAAGTATCAGCCCATGTTCTCTGAGCACTTTGGCTGATCACTGTGCGAAGGCCTGGCACATGAATTCTCCCTGTTAGTGGCTGAGTTCTAGGTAAGATGCCTTACCTGAGGTTTTGCAGCTTGTAGAGGAGCTATCACTGGGCCCCTGGACCAGTGGGCCCCACTGCTGCCATCTCCACCTGCCCACTACTGCTTTCAAACAAGCCACAGTGTGACTGCAGACCATACTCACATAGTGTATCAGTCCCCCCAGTGAAACTACTCATCTCACCAAGCCCAGCCTGCAGTACTCCCGTCAGAGCAGCCCTACGCACGACGTTCACGCACCAAGGGAAAGGGTGGCAGCTCCATGCCAGCCCTCTGAGTCCTGTGCGGGCTGGTGGTCGAAGCTGCGGCTCAGAGTAGAAAGCAAATAAGGTGTTGACAATTATTATATCGTGATGTTCAGCTTTGCTCATCTCTGGGATTCAGGGTGGCACATTGTTTAAGGACAACTGGGTACATTCAGATTGCCCCTGCATCTCCCTCACAAGATGTTTTAGAGGTTTTGTGTTCATATATGCTTCTTGGTCATTCTCTTGTTGCCATCAAGTCAGAACTTATTTATAACTGACCCTCCAGCATGTTTGTTTCATTTTCTGTTTTGGGTTGGTTTTTTTCCCCCCAAGATGATAGAGTTTATTAGGGAAGTAAGGCTCCAGCAGGTTTTTAAGAGGCTGAACATTGCACAGGAGAAGATTGCCCATCTTTTTCACAGGGAAGCCTACTGGTGGATTGGAATTGCTAGAGAGGGCCCACCTTTGCGATAGCAACACAGCTCCCCATGGACTCCACCACCAGAGTCCCCCATGTACACCTAAGTCACATTTTATTAGGGATTAGCTAAAGCTGGGATGTGACCTAAGCATCTGAGTTTCACTGTTGGCGTGAATCCAGGTATCTGACAACGACTCTGTATTTCACAGAATTAACCCAAAGGTTCCCAGTTCTTACACTCCTGAGGGAGCCATCCCAGGCTGGGAATCTGAGTGCATAGCAAGTGGTTGTGTCTAGGTCCTACTCCAGGATTTGCTCCTAAGATCTTCCTCTGCAGTGAGAGAGGCCTACATCATTTACAAACTAGCCATGTGACAGAATAGTGAGGATGGGTGACAAGGGCCATAACTCCAAGCAGCTCTCTCCAAAGCCCTCAGATTCTCAGACAAGCCTGCTGTGTGTCATTGATTCAGAACCTACTCACAGCTGACTCTCCAGCAGGTTTTCAGAGGCACGGGGCAGCTGGTGGATTCGAACTGCATGCCTGAAGGATTATGGTGCAGCATCTTCCCACTAGACCACCAGCACTCTCTAAGACAAACCTAGAAAAGTAAAATCAAGAATTATGGCAAGTTTCTCAGCCCATCCTAGCCCAGCCCCATCCTGCCCCCACTTCACAGGAATCAAGAGCAAAAGGAAGGCTAAAGCCAGGGTCTCCTTTGTTTCCTCAAAAGTAGATCTTTGGGGGTGGGGGGAGCCACCTGCCAAGGAGCCTGAGGAGCTCACAGGTAAGAACTTGTCGATGTTCTAAGCTCCTGGAAGGACCTTTGCAGATACATGAGGGACAATGCCAGAAGGGGGCGTGTCCCCCAGAATTCTGAGTTCATGATGTGAATAGAACTAGCCCCTCACTTGCAGTGCTGAATTCCAGGAATATGCCATAAGATGTTTATAGGCCCAAAACTAGAGACAGACTTCTCCCTCCAGGTGAGAAGCGGGCTGCATAGTGGACGTTGACGAGTTCTGTTTACAATCTCCCGCCACCATCTTCACACCAAGAGCCCAGAAGGAATGTGTAATCTCCAGTGAAGAGGCTGCTCTTGACCAGTCAGAGTCTAAACAAAGAGCAAGAACCTTCCCCCTGAGACCCAGAAAGAGGCCACTTGAGATCTATTCCTAATTGCTTTCACATTAACGATTTCTCTTCTAGCCAAAGGGCTATCAGGAGAGTCGGAGGAAGCACACTAGGCCTCTGTGCACTCTGATTCTCCCTCATTTAATCACCTGGTTGTGCTCAGTCCCTCGATGACTGGGCTAGTCCATCTGGTGGCCCTGACTACAGGAACCCAGGAAGTACCTGGGCTTGACTGACGCCAGGACCCTTGGGTGTTAATAAGCACCCTCGTGGGAGTGTCATAGTAAAGGAAGGCATTCATTTCCTTCAGAGGACATAAGGTCAACGATGGATGACCTGGGGTCACAAAAGGGAGATTTTTCAAAATATCTCAGAAGTTAAACTTACTATATTAGCTACAGAGAAAAGAAAGATATAAATATTTGGGAAACTGTTGAAAACGGGATTATATAAAAGATACACTTAATGGTTTAGCAAGGAACACTTACTGAATTCTCACTAGGGAACATAGTTATGTTACAGATGTGTAAATCAGGACTCAGAGAGGTTAATAGTCCATACCACACAGTAACTGGCAGAGCAGGTCTTGACTCCAAGTCCCAGGTTCCTGAAGCTGGCACTGCCAAAGCATTGCGCTATTCCTACTGGGAAATCCAGATGTGTGATCTACCAGCTGCCCCTCGGGATAAAGATGGACAGTCACCTCACTCCAGTGTGACTGACAGCTTCTGAAAACCCACTGGAGGGTCAGCTATGAGTTGGTTCTGACTCGATGGCCATGAATTTTAAGCTGAGATACAAAGGTGGCCCGTCAGCAGATGTTTGTTGAATGGATCTGGGTTGCACATTCGGGGGATACAGGGTAGCTGCACTGCCTTGTTTGCCTCTGTTCCTTGTGCTAAGCTCAGGCCTGGCCAGAAACAGCTGGCCTAGTGAGAGCCGGAGCAAGAGCCAGGGCCGTGCATGTAAGGTCCCACCTGCCCTCATAGGACAGTTGCTGAGCAGCGTGGGTCCTGGAATCTGGCTCCGGATAGGACTCAGCAAACAGCTGCACCAACGCCAGTGCGGTGTGGGCTCCCAGAGGTGATGAACAGAGTCTGGTGCTAAAGGATGGTTAGCCTTCAGGCGGGAGGACCCGGAAAGGGTGTGTGAGTGCTCAGCACAGAGGAAATGCTGCCTTGCTAAGGAGTCTTGTGAAGAAGCTGAGAGTGGCAGTAACAAATTCATCTGTGTCATTTGTTCCTTTTCTCCATCCATCCCAAACATGAACCAAAAACATGAATGATGGCCAAAAACAGATCAGGTACAATGAGATCCCATTGCCCAGCAGTGTGTCTTGGTCCTCTCATGGCCTGGCAGAGGGTGAGCAGTTTACTGAGCTGAGACAGCTCACGGGACAGGCAAACCAGAAGTAAAGTCCCCTGTCTTTTCTTCAAACTCTTCTCCTCAGTCAAAGGGAAGACAGGAAGGGGTAGACCATGAAGGTAGAGAGAGGCCCTGGCTGGTCACAGCTTTCCTGAGGGGCCATTCCTAGGGAAAAGGCATCATGCTTAGAAAGGCGGAGAGGAAGACGATCCATGAGATAAATCAACACAGCGACTCTAACAGTGGGCTCAAATAGATCCGAGATGGTGAGGCTGGCACAGGGTGGGTCAGGGTTCATATCCGTTGTTTGTAGGGTCACTATGGTCATACTCAACTCGATGGCACCTCCCAACAACAGTTGCTCCATAGGAAAAAGGCATGACAGTCTGTCTGCTTCTATGAAGATTGCAGCCTCCGATGGGACAGTTCTTCTCTGTCCAATAGTGAGTGTGACTTCGAAGCAGAATCAATTCTGCAGCTACAAATTTGGGCTTAGGCCCAAAAGTTAGAAATACTTTTATAATATGGGAGCAGGAACTGCGCAAGGACTATCCCATTCTGGGTGTGGTGCAAACCAGACTTAGCAGCATGTCTGTGCAAAGACTTAAGACAGGAATCTGGAGTTAGAGAGTCCTGGATTCACATCCTGGAGCCTGTCTGCCCTTGGCATGCTGTCATAGGCAAGTGAGTAACATCTCCTGTAAAATCCAGAATAACAGAAGTAGTTCCTGCCTTAGCACAAGACACCATTCAGAATCCCAGGTGGGGTGGACATGGGGGAGGTGTTGGCTTGTGGATGAATCCACACTTAACCATATTGGCTGGCACAGATGGTCTAGGCTGGTGGTCATTCAGAGAGCCACCAGGCCATAGTGCTGATGGGAAAATCAGGTCCTAGAGAGACTTGCCAAGTCAAGAATAAAACCCAGGCGTCTAGAGTTGGAGTTCAATGGCACCAGCAACAACACAATTGTTTCCTGGGCTTTCATGGACCCCATTCACCATCATAGGCTGGGCCACTATCTTCTGGGGCTTCTCCACCCAGGACTCTGCTCTGACCTGGTCACATGAGGAAAGCCATTGCTGGTGGCTCCTGCTTCCCTCAAACTGTTAGTGTAACTTTCCCATAGATCAGGCTGCCCGGAGATGAGGCCCAGACACTGACAT